CCATTCTCTGCTCGTGAATTAATTACCCGTATTCGTACTAATCTTGAGTTATCATTTCTTCGTCGTAAAATAATATTCCAAAGATTTGAGCAGGAAAAAACAAAGCAATTACTACTTTCAATCTCGACTAAAATTTTTTCTGGATCAAATATGAAAGAAACATTACAATATATTGCTAAAGAAATCTATCATAGATTGCCATGTGAAAGAGTTATTATTGTTTCAAATGAACAATCTGAATTTAAGAGTAATACTATAATTGCTTTATATGAAAACCCGAAAAATCTACCAGTGGAAATTAGTTACAATGACGCGAATGAATCGCAAATATTCACTAATTCAAAAGTATTTTTAAATAATAATTCAGGAATAGAGATTTCTTTGAACGTATACTGCGATAATATTTGTAAAAATGTATCCATGCTATCTGTAGAAATAAGATTGAATGATGGTTTTTGGGGATGGATAAAAGTACAGAGATCTCCAAATTCTACTTGGTTCGATTCGGAAATAGAGTTTTTACAACAAATCTCAAATCAAATAAGTTTATCTATTACTCATATAACTTTAGCAGAAGAGAATATTGAAAAGGAGATTCAAATAAAAGCTGCTCAAGTTGCAAATAATACTAAGAGTCAAATTTTAGCAAATACTTCTCATGGTATATTATTTTCTTTCGTACATTCCTAATAGTTTTTTATCATACTAATTAATTTTAATTTCATAGAATTAAGAACACCATTAGGCGCAATAATAGGAATTCTTTCTTCTTTTGAAGGTGCTAACTTAACTACTGAGCAAAAAGACATGATTAGTATTATGACACGTGCATCTGATGCAGCATTATCGATAGTAAATGATATTCTTGATGTTTCAAAATTAGAAGCACAAAAAATCACACTTGTAAATAGAACATTTGATTTATTAGAATTATTTGACAACACTGTTGAGACATTTGGAGAAAAAGCAGGAAATAAAAAAATTGAATTTATTATAAATTATGATGTAGATAAGTTGCCGAGATATGTTAAGACTGATCCTGAGAGGTAATTAATAAAACTAATGAACTTTTATAAAATAAATAAACAAGTACTTACCTTTTTTTATATTAAACAGGCTGAAACAAGTTTTATTCCATTTATTATCAAATTCGTAATGACGTTTACATACTTATGTTTACTTTTATTATTATTATTATTATTTTATAACCAGTAATTCGTTATTAATTTTTTAGAATTAAATTTACTGAAAGAGGTGAAATTGTACTGATAATTTCAATGCTGTCGAAAGATACTGAAGAAAACAAAATGTGTTCGACTTATGATCAAACGAATAAAAAAGGAATTATGTTGATTGAATTACATGACACTGGCATTGGGTAAACCAATTATGATTACATATTTAATGTTTTAACATGTGCATTATCTAATTATCCATTTAATAATAATAGCATGAATCCTGAATATATACAACATGCCTGGAAAAGTTTTTCACGGGGTGATATGTCAATAACCAGGAAACAAGATGGTGCAGGACTTGGTCTCTCAATTTGTAAAAGTTTAGTAGAAATTAATGGTGGAGAAATTAAAGCAGAAAGCCAGTTGGGAGAAGGAAGTACATTTTGGTTTACATGGAACATAGAGCTATTATCATCGATAGCACCAACTATTTCAAAACTTCCAACTTCCTCATTATTAGAAGCACAATTTGATATGCAAATAAACCATGCATTGCCTAATTTTATAAGAAAAAAACGAATACTAATAATTCATCCAATCAAAAATATGAGAAACGCAATGTTAACATATTTTAAAATTGTTGAAAAAGTTGATGCATTCGATACCTTTAACGAAGGTATTAAAGCTGCCCAAAAATATAAAGAACTGTATAATCAACCTGCTTATGACATAGCATTCATCGGTCTTTATGAAGATAATGAAGAAGAGGTCATGAGAGCAGCATTAAAGTTAAAAGCATTAGATATGGATAGTAATAGATTATTTGTAATTTTTATAGTATTTCCGACTATTGAAGGAAATGGATTAGCAAAAAAATTAATTAGAAAACTTGGGGGAACCGTTTCTGCTATTTACACTCCAATTACGCGAAAAAAGTTAATTAATCAAGTTGTTCATCTGGAAAAAAACAATGCAATTTACCTTCTACATTCACACCCTATATAGTCGATAAGCACTGAATTTTATGAAACTAACTAAATAAAAAATAATAAACCTTATTATAGTCACAAATCATTTACTATCACTATCTTCATAAAAATTTTTTATTAATTTTATTAATTATAAACATCCTGATAATCACTAACTACTATAAATACCAATTATTGAATTTAATTAATAACTATATTTGTTTATAGACACGGATAGTATTTATGGTGATTCAGATTTTTAAGATTAAATTATATTTTAGTTAACAATTTTAGTAGTCTGACATCTTACAATAATCAGAAATTAAATTTCATTTATGCAAACAATTGATAATAAATTAAATTTTAATAAATTAGCAATAATAAAATTTTATTTTTTTAATAAAAGAAAACATTGTCATGTAATTTGAATTTTATATAAATATCATGTTTGTTTATTTTTTTACTTTCTTCTCTTCTTTTTTACAAAACAGTGCCTTGAATTAGTATTAAAAAAATGTCAAAAATACCGATGTCATGCATTTAGAGAGGGCTGACTGTAATACATATTCATCAGAAAATTTTTAAATAAGGTGCATATTGATTACTATCTGCAGAGATGATTAATATTGATTTATATTGATTATATTCGATTATAATCATTCAAATCTAAATGATTGCAATCAATTGTAATCAATGCTAATCGATTGCAATCATTTAGATTTGAATGATTACAATCGATTATAATCGATATAAATCAATATCAATCACCTTTGCAGATAGTAATCAATATGCACCTTATTAAAAATTTTCTGATATTATTATTTTTAAAAAAACTATAATATTAGATACTTTCTTTAAAAATAATATATATAAATTTAGAAAATACTTTTGCAGCACTATAGTATCATAATACTATTTTATATATAATTATCAGATCATATATATAAATCAATTTGTTTAAAGTAAATATTAATTATTTAATATTAAAGTATAAAGTAAGATAAGATCTTGATATTGGGGTTAAACAAAAATTAAGATAAAATTTTGCAAGAATTTTTTTTATTAGAGCCCAAATAGTAGTTTCA